TCTCCTAGCATCCTTGAGAGCATTCTAGAAGATAAGTTTCCCATCAATAGTCCATTTGGAAATTTTGAAAGTATAGACAAACTGTGGAATTTTCCAGTAGGCTGCATGGACTTTGATCCCCAAAGTCTAGAAGAATGCATGCTGCATAGTAGGTGCTCAGCAAAGATGTGTTGAATGAATAAGTAAGAGTAGAGTGAAGATCATTCTAAAGACATAGCTTGATTATTGGAAGAACTTTATTTAAAAAACAAAAACAAAAAAACAGACATGCCTTCATTGTTCTAGCAGTCCTGTGCTGGATTAAAACAAGGGTCAAGAAACTTTAACCATATTTAAGCACTGGCATACTACTCTAATTCAGTGACCTAACTAAAACTATAAAGGAATTTTAAAATCTTAAATACACACACACACATATACACACACATAGATGTGGAAAATATGTATAAGTGCACATTAAATGTGAATTTATATTAAATCCCAAGAAGACAGGATCAGAAGCCTACTTTGTAGATTAGCATCAAATACTATCGTTTTATTGGTAGAAGCCAAACAAAAAACACACCAGGCAAAATGGAAGATCATTCAAGGGCATTATTTGAATCAGTATGTGGCTATTAGTTGCTGCCAAATCAATCTTTAACTCCAGTTTCTCTAGAAAACTGGATTTTCTATCATATAAAACGTTCCACCAATGGAAATACCTAATTCATTCACAATCACACACACATACACACTCATGTATGGGCTGAGGAGGTGCCATTTTTACCATGGCCTTCCCATGCTCTTGAGGAGAAAATGAGTATTGAGGGGGAAAGATGAATTCTGTTACCTCCTACATGGGCCGAGTGTAAGGCAGAGAGTGAGGCTGAGTGTGGAAGCCAAAGCCAGCACATGGGAGCGTATTTTCCTTTCAAAATATTTTATGTACTGAAGTTTGCACAACATCTTGGCAATGACAGCAAGCCTGTATAAGGAGGTGTTTTGTGTTTCATAGCTAACATAAGAGCAAAAAAATATATAGCATCAGCCAAATATTATTTCAATCATGATTAAAAGAATGTGTATGGTAGGATACATGGTAAGGCTCCAGGGCTAGAAGCTACAAGGTTTAAATTTTTTCCACAAAATTCCATAAGAGAGCTTATCTCTTATTTTTCTATCTTTTGGTATTGTGAAGGAATGAAACTAGATTTAGCACAGTCCATCTGTTTGATTAGAGAGAGAAAGAGATATGGTTACATTTTCTTGGCATACAGATCTTCTATAAATCTTAGAGGAGTGTGGTTTTTGCAGATTTCACTGGAAATTATTTTGATGAAGTTCTCCAATGCTGCCCACATTAAGCACTCTTTTCTTTCTCATCATTTTTTCCCCCTTCTACCTATTTTTTAATCTTCAAAACATAGAGAACTGCCTAGCACATAGTAGATATTCAGTAAAACTTATCAAATTCATTAATGGATGAATGGATGTATGGGTAACTAGACTAGGCATTAGGAGATCTGGATTTTAATTCTAAGTCACTAGTAGGTATCATACCACCTAATGGAAATCATTGTGCATTGCTTTTTACTGTAATAACTTTGAGTGAGTGCATATGTGGGGAAGTGATGTTTGTTTCTTAGATTCCCACGTAAACTATAAGCCAGAAATCACAACTTCAAATGCCTATATGGGCCAAGCAAGTAATAGAAATGAGGAAAATTGGTGGATGTAATAAAATAGGGAATAGTGGGGACTGTGGACAACCGGAAAGCACAAAGGCCAACCTGTGTTTAAAACATAATGGGAGCCAAACACACCACACCTGCAATCCAAGCACATTTACAACATAAGCTCCTTCCCTGAGATAACTGTTTCTAAACCATCTCTGTCATATGTAAAATAACACAAAAATAAGTAAATAGGAAAAATATTAATTGCTAAAATTTATCAAGCACCTACTAAGTTCCTGGAACTGTTCTGAATTCCTTCTGTTCTAATTTTATGTCATTAATAGAATTACCTCCATTTTATAAATGAGGGAATTAAGGTACAATACTTAGTAAGTGTATATTGGGTGGTCTATTGATAAATTATTGGATGTTAAGAAATAAAAAACAGCACAACAAGGAACAAAGTAACAGGGTGCTGAGCTGAGTCCTCAACCCAAATGAAAGAAGCACACTCCAAAGAACAGTCTATCAGAGAGTGACATTCAACTCATCTTCTGACATTTCCAGGTGGGAGGGCGGAGATCATTCCATAGGTAGCTCATGATCTACAACGTAACTGAAACTACTACATTGCTGATAGAGTTGACACAAAGAACAGCTTTCTGCAATCTTCAAGGCCTGTCTCCCTTGCTTCACAACAAACAAACAAACAGACAGACTGTTGCTCCTTTGTGTTGAAATAACTAACAATTATGAGCAACTATTGTCTATTTAGTGCTTACAATATGCTGAATATTTTGGGCATTGTGTTATCTTCTCTAATTCTCACAGGGACCCTGTGAAGTCCGCACTGTTGTTTTCATTTTACAGATAAATAAATTGAGGCTTATGAAGGTGAATTGACTTCTCCCAGATCACGCAGCTAGTAAGAGCCAGAACTGGGATATGAATCACAGCAACCTGTCTCCAAAGCTCATGGCTTTATGGCATGGCCATGCAAAGAAGGCTGAAAGAAAAGTGAATTTAATTTTTCTACATATGTTTGTCAACCATATTTTTAAAATGCAATATCATAGTATTGCACTAAACTCCAAATTATATCATAGAAAAGAGCAGACGTTTCTATTCAGGTTTAAGTGGAGAGTGGAGGGTTAACCACTGCCTCCCATATATTCTCTCTCACCTTGATTTCTCCAACATCACTCTGGTTGTCTTTACACTTCTCTGACACCACCTCTTTCTCCCTGTCACCGGCTCTGCTTTCCTCTCATTAGTGTGTGTGGACCGAAGATTCAACACTCAATTTTCCACATATTTCCTTTTCCACTTGCCCTCCAAGAGCACTCACCTCACAGATCTTCATCTGGTACCATTCTGTTAATGACACTCCCATGCTTGTCTCCCAGCTCACACTCCTAGAGGCTTGTAGGACATGTGGGACGAAATCTTTCCCAAAAGCCACGATGGATTTAAAGTTGAGAGAACTGACTGGTCATTGGGTGCAGATGTGTGAGAGGATGCTTCCTTTAAGCTGCTCAGAGATGGCTTTAATTATTTTTAATTAACTGGTGAAGAAGACTGACCTCCTCCCCCAATCCCCACAACCCCTTCCCTTCTCCCCAACCCCCTCCCTTCCACATGCCTGATTGAGGGGCTCACGAGAGGGGCATGCTCAATAAAAATTTGCTTCATGGATGGTGGGTTGGCATAGGTTTAAAGTATGAAAATCTTTCTCTTCAGTGCTTCTCATCGCAACTGCAAAACAATAGAGTATATGGATGAGAACTGGAGCTCTGGAGTCAGACAGACCTGGCTTCAAAGCCTCCTCCAGGACGTACGGCTATGCGACTTCTCTGAGCTGAGCTTTCACATCTGCAAAATTGGGGTGGTAATACTAGTTCTTGCTGGTGGTTTTGTTGGGAGGAGTAAATGAGAGAAATCAAATAAAGCGCTGAGCCCAGTGACTGGCCTGTAATAAGCCTCAGTGCATGGTCATCTTTAAGATTCTTTTGTATCCCTTTGCTTTTGAGACAGTTGGTCAGCTCTGTAGCCCCAGGGATTACTAAAGCAAGGCCATGCTTCCTATATCCCAGACTTTTATAAACTCAGCAGATAACTAAAGAAAGAGATAAAAGGGAAGAAACTTTCTAAAGTGGAGTACCTACCACTAACTACTACTACTTGTCTGGCATCATGAGAGTTGCTTTATCTTTTTAATCTCTTGTAACCTCACACAGTCCAGTTGGGGAATGAGCTGGATTTCATTGCTCCCATATATCCAGTGTTTCTCAAAGAACATTCCCTGGGCCAATGAGCATTAAAATCACCTGAGCAGGTATCTGATCCACAGCCTCAGAATTTCTAGAGCAAGACCTGGGCATCTGTGACTTAGTACTTGTATCATATAATCTAAAACTTGATCCTATATGTGCTTGTATTTTTACATCTAAGTATGTAATTTCTTAATTAGATGATATATTCTCCAAGGTAAGAACAATGTTTTCTAGTTTTCTTGTAACCCCAACAGTGTACAGCTCAATTCTAAACACATCATCATGAATGAATGAAAATATTTGGCTGGGTTAGCTTTCTGCACTGCATAGTCCTGACCTGTCAATGCCTAAAGACCTCAAATTAGAGACCTCAAATTAGAATGGTGATTCACTAATACCCAATATTATTCAATATACAATGTGAGTTTTTAATCAATACTTCCTCATTGTCATTTAGTTGGATGCTCTTTTATTGATTAAGCACCGAGATTTCTGACTTACTGACCAGGTAACAAAATTAGCAAGTGTCTGAAAAATGAAGTCCTTTTCAAGTTTGGAAGTGTTTGTAAAACAGAAGTCACAGGCCTTCCTGCCTTATCATAGAAAGCTAGGCCCCTTCTGTTCAAAATGCTTATTCAACTTTTAAACATATGAATTGAAACCTAATTTTCATTGCAGGATCAGCATTGCTATGTGCTAACTTTAGGGAAAAGAAAGAACTTGTTACTTTATGATGTGTTTGTTCCTGAGCAATTGAGACGTTTGCCATATGCTTTTATGGTAGTTTTCTTTGAGGTTCCATAAACGCCTTCTGGAATGTGGAGGTTCCACCATCAGGGTCCTTTGGGAGCCTTTCCAGCGCCCTAATGTCATTAGCCCAGCTGCTTCAGGGGCTGTGATATGCAATTATTTCTTCTACACTTAAAAAGCAATTCTCTGATCTCCAACCCATTAACCATGTTTGATCTTAACAAGATGAAAAATGTTCAGAATCTAAGCTTATGATCTTTGTGATACATTTTTCTTCTTTTAATTCACAGTAGCTTTTCCCCCCCTTTCTCTTCTGTAGGATCAACACTCTGTGGTAGGCCAGAACACAGGCCCCAGTCCAAGTTCCAACCCCTGCTCAAATCCAAACACTGGAAGTGGTTACATGAACTCCCAGCAATCACTGTTGAATCAGCAATTGATGGGAAAGAAACAGACTCTACAGAGGCAGATCATGGAGCAGAAACAGCAACTTCTCCTGCAGCAGCAGATGCTGGTGGATGCGGTAAAACTTTCTCCTAATGTCTACTGCGCGTACCTGGGGACCCAACAGAGGGAATTCATGATTTTCCATCTCTTATTTACCGCCCTTTTGTCTGTACTTACTTATGTGACAGCAGCAAGGGTGTCCTGGCTATAGAAGTTAATTCTGTACACGCGAAGTGCTTCTGGGGGGCAAAAACTTGATTTACCAGCTGCTGGAGAGTTGGAATGCACGGCACCTCCGCTAACTAGCCCTGCCCAGCCCAGGAATGTTTAGAACCACCAACATGGGCATTTAAATCAGGCAAAAGAAACCAGTCTTGTTCCGCAGCCCTGCAGGGCAGAAATGGTGACCAGAACTCTAATCAACTCAGATCCAAACTGATTTTAGAGATAAGACTATTGTAAAAGCAGTTTTAAAAGCCAGCATGGAGTTTCATAACTTAAGATTTGGCTTTCGAAATAAAGCATCTCAGAATGGAGGATGTTTTTTAAGAAAATTGAAAATGTATTTCCCACTTTTATCATATTGAAGTGGCCTTAAAAAAAAGGCAAGCCGTTATTTCTCACATGTTACCCAGACATGAACTGTGCTTTAGTACTTACCTGTTCATCCCTTCTGTAGTCTCAGACATACTCACAGCTGATCCCAGCCCCTCCTGCCTCCTAGGACCAAGGCCCTGTCTCCAAGGTTCATTCTCTCCCTTCAAACTTTTTGGTCAAATGAAAGAAGAGACAAAGTTAACCATCTCCAGGTTGATAGAGCCAGTGAACACAGAAAAGAGAAAAACAAAATAAAAAATGTTTATACTCAAGGAGCTTGTAGTAAGAGTCCAGAACCCAAGGTGTGATAAGCTCTATAATCCATTCAGTAAATATTTAGTCACTTCTGATGAGAATACAGCTATAAATAAGACAGTCCGGCCTTTGTCCTTAAGAAGCTTGGAGCCCACTGGGGATGCCAAACAAATAGGTAACTGTAATGCATGTGATTAAATGGTACTATGTGTGAACTACTAGAAATGGTTCCAGAGAGGAAGTTATATCTNGAGCTTGCAGCCCACTGGGGATGCCAAACAAATAGGTAACTAATGCATGTGATTAAATGGTACTATGTGTGAACTACTAGAAATGGTTCCNAAGCTTGGAGCCCACTGGGGATGCCAAACAAATAGGTAACTGTAATGCATGTGATTAAATGGTACTATGTGTGAACTACTAGAAATGGTTCCAGAGAGGAAGTTATATCTACTGAATATCTGAAGTGAAGTGGGAGATGGGGGTGAAGAGCAGGGGTTTACAGCCAGAAGAACCAGCGTACACACACTCGGAGACAATATACTACACATTAGCTGAGGCACAGAGCGTGCGGAGGGTCTGGGAAAGGCCGGGGAAAGAGNATGTGCAGGGTCGGGGAAAGGCCGGGGAAAGAGCTTAAGAAATCAGAACTTAGCGCAGCCGGGCGTGGCTCAGCGGTTGAGCGTCGACCTGGGATCCAGGCGATCNGTGCGGAGGGTCTGGGAAAGGCCGGGGAAAGAGCTTAAGAAATCAGAACCTAGCGCAGCCGGGCGTGGCTCAGCGGTTGAGTGTCGACCTGGGATCCGGGCGATCAGGGTTCGATTCCCGGTCAGGGCACATGCCCGGGTTGCGGGCTGCAGCCGATCAGTGACTCTCTCTCATCATTGATGTTTCTGTCTCTCTCTCTCCCTCTCCCTCTCTCTGAAATCAATAAAGATATATTAAAGGGAAGAAAAAAAAAAAGAAATCAGAACCTCCGTTGTCCTAAGAACAATGGAAGGATGTTAAGGGTTTTAAACAAGGAAGCACTAGATTCAGATCTGCATTACAGTAAAGCTATAAACATATTAAGGAAAGACCTAATGGAGGAAAATATAAAATCCAGCCTGGATAGATTGGGGATAGTGTCTCAGAAGAGATAAAATTTCACTTGGAAGGACTGTCGGATTCTGATGGGTAGAGTGAGTATGTGGGGTCCGTCACTCCAGGTGGAGGGTGGGCCAGAGACCAAAAGGCACAGCCTGTGTGCTGGTTAGTCTGAGACTGTGTCATGAAATAGTTAATATGNAGGCACAGCCTGTGTGTTGGTTAGTCTGAGACTGTGTCATGAAATAGTTAATATGTAATGAAAAGTATACATAATAATATAACAATTATTTCTGCCTTGTAAGGAATGAGAAGAAATACAAATAAATTTATTTGAATTTGTGTAAGGAATAGTGAGAAATAAATTTACAGGTGATCTTGAGTACCACCTTAAGGTATAAGGTTTAGGGAAACCACTGACATAAAGTGATGCATCTGATTTCTTCTATAAAGAAGACAACCCCGGTTCTCCCCCTCACTCGCTCCCACTATATTTTTTTAACCTTATAAACTAAATAGCTTAGAAACAAGGGTAGTAAACGAGAAAAATGCACAATCCAAGATNTCATAGTTTTGACAACCCCGGTTCTCCCACTCACTCGCTCCCACTATATTTTTTTAACCTTATAAACTAAATAGCTTAGAAACAAGGGTAGTAAACGAGAAAAATGCACAATCCAAGATTGACTTCCTGGCTACGCGCTCATTCCCATCAATTCTACTAATTTGTTGAATTATAACATGCAGAGGCTGAATTTCCGGGTTTCAGCTCCGGTTAAAAGGCAAGGAAACACTCCACGAGGGCCGGGGCTGGCACTGGCCGAACCCCCACGAGCTCCGGTTGAGTCACCGCGGGGCAGGTGCAAAGGGCAATGGCATAGCTGCGAGAGATGAATGAGAAGGAGCCCGCCGTCTTTGTGATTTTATAAACCACTCACATTTCTCCAGTTTGGACACCATTGAGGCTGCCTGCACTTTTTAGCATATCCAGGAAGAAACAGTCTTTGATACCACTTTACATTAGCATACGCTTTGTAGTCATTTGCAGTCAGTTGGCAAGGCCAGATAGCCGCCTAAATTGAGACGTTTTCTCATGAAAGTGTTATCCTCACTCTCTATTACTCTCCCACCAATGAAACACAAGGAGGAGAGACGAGTGGTACTTATTACATTGGGCATCGTAATTATCAACATGTTCTGTGCACCTACTATGTGCCAGGCACCGTGCTGAGCTTTTTCAGAATTAAAAGATTAATCCTTACAATAGGAGCATGAGGGAGATCCTAGAATGATCCACATTGTGCATTTGGAGATGGCAAAACTGAAGCAGGACAGATATGTGCAAGAGAAGGTTATGTCTATATTAGGTTTCTAGGTCCCAGATATGGGTTATCCTGAGACATTAGTGGATAAGTTAAATTTCCTATTACACAGAAGTAGTCTCAGGGATGCCTGTGAGTTTGCACTTGCACAGAATGGGAATGTCACTCTCTTGCCAATGAAGCAGCCTCCGTTCGGTGTTGGAGGCTGGTGGTGGCTACTCTGCACCACAGAGTGACAAATCGGCCTTTCTGTGATGGTCCATGTGCAAGGACCTTAAATCTAACTCAAAGTTCCCGGAGATGTATATATTAACCCTTGCATAACATAATTTAGCCCTCAGGGAAATAAAAAGTCAATAATTGAATTGAATATATATATATATATATATAAAATAAGTCCAGATTTGAAATCTAGTCTTTAATGGGGAACCAAAGGCATGGTTATTATGTCTGTCTCTGTCTGTCTGTCTGTCTGTCTCTCTCTCTCTCTCTCCACACACACACACACACACACACACACACATATACACATACTCTCTTGCTCTGTTTCTCCCTCTCTCTCTAATACACACACACATCACACATAAATCAGATTTTCTTCAACATAAACAGCAAAACACCTAATTACATAAGAAAAAATAATAAATGCTTTTGAAAAATAGATTTCAGAAAGCCCCATGCTTGGCATAAAAATCAAAACTCTCAGCTTGCACAATAGTTTACAGCAGGAACGGCTGAACATTGCCACATTTGGGTTCACAGAACATCTCAAGCTGTTTTTTAAACATTTAGGGTTTGGGTAAACCCAAAGTTTCACCAACCACTTTTTCCCTTAATTTGTAAACCCATATTTAAAAGAAACGTAACCCATGTGTTTCTGATTCATTTACACTTAGCTCATCAAAATTGTGTTTTATATGAATTACTTGATGCCCCAAAAAACCCTGTGAGTCTTTCAAGTGTTTTTTCTTCTTCAAAACAAGAATTTGAATTTGGTTTATTGTTATTTTAAGGCTGCTTTTTTCCTGTAGAGTAGATATATTCTACTTAGAAAGCCTGAAATTTGATGGGAAACTGAGAAATACATGGTTAGGGTGCGTTCTAAGTTAGGCAGTCCACATTTGGCTTTCATCTACAAGGTCTTTTCTATTTATCGACTTTTCTATAATTATATTGTTCTCTGTCTACCTCTGCCAATTATTTTTATCTTTGAAAATGAAGGTTGCTTTGGGGTGCAAAGAAGCAATTTTTAAAAATTCCTGATCCATACTGAGAAAGCAAAAAAGCAGCCCCTGATGTCCAGAACTGATAGGACACTCACAGCCAGGCCGCTTTGTTCTCTGTTGGACATAAACAATGATTACAGAATACTGACCTCAGACAGGGTTACTCGGAGACCATGATAAAATGAGACAAAAGAAAGCCACTTCATAATTTTGTCTAAAAGCAGATACAAACAAGGGCACTGTGCAATCCACAAAATACCCAAATCCCCCTCTTTGGCTAAATGAGTGACAACTACTTCATTCCTCAATCATAGAATCAGCCTCACTTTCTGACAGGTTGCAAGTGGGGATCAAATCCCCGCTTCCTTAGACCCTCCCTAAATCACCCAGTCAAAGCCCAAGTCCCGTCATAGGTTCTTTCTAACGGGCTCCTGCGGAGACATCCCATGGGCTCCCTGTGCGGGCTCCCTCACCGCAGCAGTAATAAACTACACTAACAATATAAAAAGAAGGTCCCCTGTTTCCTCCCTTAGCTCCCAAAGAAACCTACTCTAAAGATCTAAAGGTAGGTGATTTCAGAAGGAAGTAAAGAAGGGAGCCTGGGAAATGTGTGTGCTTTGAGGATGGGGCACAGAGAGAGCAGCCAGGGACCCTTGTGTGGTGTGGCAGACATGAGCCTGAGTTTTTGACTCAGGATTTGGTTTCTGTTCTACAACTGTATGATCTCAGGCAAGTTACTTAGCCTGAGGAAGCTTCTTTCCTCGTCTATGAGGTGGAAATAAGCATACCTACCTTCAAGGATTGTTTATAAGGGGAAAATGAAGTAATATAACGCCCCTACCAGTACCTGATAGGTTATCTCCTGACATCTCCTCCTGTCTAGAGTTGCCAGACTTAGCAAATAAAAATACAGAATGCCCCGGTGTCTATTTTATCTGGAAATCCTACTCCTATGCCTCTGTACTCCGTGGAACCACACCTATATACAGGGTGGGGCAAACGTAGATTTACAGTTGTGAGTACATGAAACACAGTTTACTCTTGTATCCTTGATTAATTATTGTATTGTTTTCCACATGAACAACTGTAAACCCACGTTTGCCCCACCCTGTATAGGTGCCAAAGTATATCAGGTGCGCTACAAAATAAAACTGAAGCTATCGTCTCAAAAATGATACAAATTCAGTCCCCGTTGAAATCTAATTGCAAAATAAAGAAAATGAGAATAGTCACTAGACCCAAAGCACATGTCGAATGTTAAGGAAAGTAGAATTGCACTTCCAGGCAGGAAGTTTCTGGAAATGGAAAGGATTCGTCTCTGAATTGAGACTATTGAATACAAGGTTCATGATTCGCAACTATGACTGCAGGATTGTTCTCATGCTCTTTTTTGAATAATAGTCTATAAATTTTACAAGTGAGAAAGTAGCAATGCAACTCAATATGTTTTCATTTGTGTTTTCAAGGAGAAAATTCCTCCACAAGATCAGATAAACAGACATTTGACAAGGCCACCCCCAGATTACAAAGACCAAAGAAGAAATGTGGGTAACATGCAACCAACTGCTCAGTACTCTGGTAAGTTTTCTCAAAAATTAATAGAAATTATAACTGTAGAAAGAAGAAAACTGTTCTTTCCTCCTTTCCCCATCTCATATTTAATTGTAACATTGTTTTTAGAATTTTTCACTACTTCCCGTATAACTTTCAGAACAAGACTAAACTTGAATATTTTTAGTTTTCTCATCATTTCTTCCTTAGTCTTATTCTGAATCCACATATTTCACTGCTCTCCAGACTACCTCTGAGAGTTTTAAAAAGCTTAAACATTTTCTAACTGCTAGGTTCAACCATTCTTCTCCCAACAGCATATCTTGACGCAGGTAGTGTAAGGTAAGTAGACATTTCTTTTTGAGTCACATTTGTAACTTGCTTAAAACCCAATCTTTTTTTTTTTTAATTTATCTTTATTGTTGAAAGTACTACACATGTCCCCTTTTATCCCCCATTGATCCCCTCCAC